AGCTCGCCAGTTTGTTTAAATGAAGAAAGAGGGTTTTAGAAAATTTATTATTTTTGTGCTGTTACTGTTAGGGCCGCCATTTGGTGGTGCTTATGGAAAGAAAGAAACGGTCAGGTTTTCAACAAGGGGATTCGCTCTCTTGATTCTTTTTTTAACTGTGTACAAATTACTGCTTCAACTTGGTGTCTAAACCACAAGGTTTCTTTTTGCAATTATAGTCTATCGATGCTTACTTGTGATTGGAGAGCTGTTCTCCATTAGTTTTTATGAGGGGGCTTTCTCATCCCCCAACCTTTAGGCTGTTTTGACCTTTCTAATGATAAGTCTCTGTTTCCTATCAAAAAAAATTTTCCCAATTCAAAACATAAAATATTTTCCATCCTTGAGATGTGTACTGATTTATTTTACCAATGTTCTTGTATGGATGGTCCACACGTGCTTATGTATTTCTGTGTTGAATTTTTCTTCTCACCTATGCGTTTTCCTTTACCTTCAGTGCAGGAGGGATGGCCCTGTCGACATTAGTTACGGCAACAGTGAATTCAATATCTATGCTAGCTCGGAGTTCAATTACCAGTTTGCAGACATGGTCTTTGCATGGACTTCTTTTGACTATTGAAGCTGCTGGCTTGTCCTATGTGTCCCAAGTTCAGGTCACCCACTTATGCTTTGAGCATCTCTAAAATTTGAAATCTTCATTTTTGAACCTGATCTTGGTTACTCTGTTGCCGTTTTTTTCTTTTTCCTTCAACTTAAATCCCTTGTAACTTTTGTTTTTCGTTGGGCACTATTGTTTTTGCTTCTTTTGTTGGCTCAAATTACCTGTTCTTATTCTTTCATTTGCCTTCATGAAAGTCTAGTTTTTCATTAAGAAAAAAAAAAGTTAAAGAGAACAAGTCACTTCAAATAAAAGATTTAAGTATTACGAATAAGAAAGAGTGGAACATCTTGGTAAATAACACTTTGTCAAAGATGCACAAAAAAATATCAGAAACAACATTTTAAGCCAACAAGATGGGTCTCCTCCAATCAATCCTGAAAGTCTCTAGAATTTGTTTATTTTCAAATATACCAAATAATTGTCAAACAAAGATAAGAAAATTGTGGTGGGATAGTCTTACTTCAAATTTCATAGTAAAGAGAAATTCACCTACTTTCTAATAGTTCAAATTTCTAACGAACCTAGAATGTTGAAGATAGATCATATTAGTCTTAGAAAAGTGATGAAATAGAAGCATTGTGAAACATACTTGAACGAAATGTGTCTTAAACAATATCTTTCCAAATTCTAACAGGATCGTGCAGTAGAGAAATAATCATTATTTCAAAATTCAGTATACCTGTGGAGATAAATTTTCAAGGACTCCTTTCAGACCATCCAGAACATTAATATTAGTTTGAACCCAGTGCTTGCTTTAAATAATACTTGTGAGCAACACGTGTGATTTACGTGAAATTCGAGCATTAGTTATTTTTGCAGAGGATCAACACTAACATTTAGTTATTTTTGCATATAATAGAGGTCATTCCTTGTTTTTGAAACACTTTTGAAAGATTAATAAAATTCAAGCAACTTGTCTACATCAATTAATTTTATTAATGCAGCTTGCCATTTTCCCGTTTTGTTCTTCCTTGAATTATGCTTAATTGTCTGAATGACTCTTTGATATTTTCTTTCATACAAACTTGATCTTTATTTTCCTTAGGCGACTCTTGGCCTTGCACTGGATATTCTTCTATCTGAGGAGAATGGATTAGTTGACCTTCAACAAGGAGTCGGTCGCTTAATAAATGCTATTGTTGCTGTTCTTGGTCCTGAACTGGCCCCAGGAAGCATTTTCTTTTCACGTTGCAAGGTATTACTAGTCTTTCAACTTCTTTGACCAAGTTTAGGTGGTAACATTTTATTTTCTTAATTTGAGGCTGGAATATTTATTGATGGAAGGCTTACAATAAGAAAAGAAAATAGAAAAGCTAATCCTCACCGAATAGGATCAAGATACATTATTCAATTTATAGAACATAAAATATTGTGGGGTTGTGCAGCTAGAGCCCATTTGTAGAGCCTTTGGAAAGAAAGAAATAGGACGGTTTTTAACAAAAACCCTTCTTCAAGCCTTTTAGTTTACGGCTTCTATGTGGTGTTTTAATCTTAAGAAATTCTTTTGTAACATAATCACTACAATCTTGGAGGAGAATACTCTTCATTAGTTCTTTTTGGAAGGGTCCCTCATTTCCTGCCCTTAGGTTGTTCTTCCTTTTGATTAATACACTTCTTGTTTCTTATTAAAAAAAAAAGAGAAAATTTATAGAACATAGAAAGAAAATGCAGCACGATTAAATATTCAAGGGGAAGCTGGAAACTCTGTTCTCCTCCAAGAAGTTTCCTATCCTTCATTCTTGTCTTTGAAAATCATACCCATAATTTTAGCCAACTCAAGAGAAGTAGTTGAATGACATTACTAAGCTGAGGATAATAAAAGGAACAAACATGCCCCTTGGAAACCTCTCAAACAAATTATCTGAGAAGTCTTATAAAAGGTAGTCCTTTAGCGCATATTCAAGGAACTTCTACAACTTCCATTGTTGAATTGAAGTTATTGAAATACCTACTTTTGGGGCTGAATGATCGTTTAAGTTAGAACTTATTTGAAAGCTTAAACTTTCAGGTTATAATTAATTTATACATTCTCATTTATTTATTTTTCCACCCTCGTGAGTGAGCTGTAACTTATATTTGGTTAGTTAGTTAAATGGCCTGTAGATCATCCGTCGTAAGATAGGGAGGAAGTCTAGTGACCATCAAAGATTTGAACTAACAATATTAGCTCCATTATCATGACTTTGTTTTTACTTAAAAGAAAGATAAGAAACTATTTCCTTTGAAGATGACAAAATTTACAAGGAAAAACAGAATCCATGGAGTTACAAGAAGGATATTCAATTTGTTTGTGTAGAGTAAAGAGAATAATTACAAAAGTATTTAGACTAAAGACACTTAGAAGAAGCATGAAAAACAATTACATTCCAAATTTTTTTTTTTGAACAAGAAACAAACTTTTTTTTTGATAAATGAAAATGAACATTTACAAACTCCAAAGGAGTGAAAAAGACGTAAAAAAGTGAATACAAGTTACATAAAGCCAAAGCAAGAGATCTAAAATTACAAAGGAGAGCTAAAAGCATCCCAATTAGAATAAATCATGCTAGGTGAGTAATTGACAAAGAGATTGGAAAGAGCACACCATTGAGAAGCTTTGAAACAATTACATTCCAACATCGATAAGTAGTTTAGGTAAACTCTTTTATTTTTTGCCAGCCACAGTTCCCACAAAACTACGACAAAAACATCAACTCAAAGCTATTATTGCTTTCTTCCCGACTATGACCACAAAGCCTTTGGTAGACAAAATATTTTATACACCATGGAAAAGAACGCTGCTCCCAAATTTCGAGGAGTCTATGCCAAAGTGTAGACACCACCGGACAAAAGAGGAGGATATGATTAGGATCCTATTCACTAACTTTATACATGCAGCGTAAGGGTTCCACTCCTAAATTTCTTGTTTGAATTTAGGCCATTGAGAGAGTCAACATCTACTAAATTTCTTGTTCAAATTTAGGTAATTCAGAAAAGAGTGTACATGAAATGCTTCACATTTCTTGGGGACCTTGGAATTCCATAATTCCTTGCAAAAGCCCAAAATTTGAGGATATGAATTCTTTGTGTCAGAAAATTGAAAATAATACTTAACTATATGCAACAATAGAATTTGAGTTTTCAGATTTTACAATCATTTTCAAAAGCCAAACTAAAGCCAGAAGGGTCACTAAGAGGATATGGATAATTTATGTTTCTATGTTGATCAAGACAAGAGCTACACAGAACGACATTTAATTATGCCAAAATGAGCCTAGCTCAACAATAAAGGCATCTACTCCTTCCTTTAAAGTTGAAGATTCAAATCCTCACGCCCTCCCATTTCTTGTACTCAAAAGAATGACATTTAACTATTTACAATAAAACTATCAGGAATAATAAATACTTTATTTATTTATCATGGGTGTTACTTTCAGTCTGTTGTTGCAGAGATAAGCTCCTGGCAAGAAGCATCAATCATGCTCGAGTAAGATGATTTTATCTCTCTCTCTCCGACCACCCAACACCCCCACCCCCCCAACCCAAGTGCACACACACACATCCTTAGGGAAGAAAATTAATGAATGATCAATATGTTACCAAAATTATTGGCCTTTCAGTTCTATATCTATATCAATTCTGCACTTGTCTGGTATAACCTACTAGTATAGTTAATGGTTTCCCCAACCACGTGGAAAACGATGGAGCATCTTTCTGATATCCAAAGTGCACAAGTTCAATTAACTTGGCCAAAACTAATTAGTTGTTTTTCTCTTTTCCTTTTCAAGATTGCTCTTTTGTTGGTGATAATACGTCACATACTATTTCTGCAGGAGTGTTGGCTTTACTCAACAACTTGTTTTGTTTGCGCCACAAGCTGTTTCTGTGCGCTCCCACTTGCTAGTTCTTCTCCCAACTTTATCCTCTAAACAGGTTTTGTTTCTCAGATTATGAAATGAGCTTCCAAATTACTTGTCTTGGACTTCCAATTCTTTAACAGTTTTCTCTCTCCTTCACTCAATTTTTTGAGAATGCAGCCAACATTACGACATCTTGCTGTATCTACTCTCCGGCATCTTATTGAAAAGGATCCAGTATGTTGTTTTTCTTTTTACCTTTCCCTCATTTCTCCCATTTTTGATGGCTGGTTTGTATCAATCATGAACTTTGTGTCCACAATGACGTATTCTTATTAGGTTCCCATCATTGATGAACAAATAGAAGAGAGCTTATTTCATATGCTAGATGAAGAAACTGATTCAGAGTAAGCTATGAATGAATCTCTTCATCTTGCCTAAACTTTTAAGGTCAATTTTTATGTTTTTGTTCTAAGTTTGAATTCTTGTTTTCCCTCTGATGTTTAGTTATGATACATCTGCTTATTGAGAATTCTGGTTACATATACAAGGAATGAGCAGAAAAAGACTTAAATCTATTAAAAAGTCATCTGACTGAAAAGAAACCCTGCTTCTAATTTCTAAATATCATCTAAAACTGGTTTTGTTTACACTTTTTTCCCCTAGTTTTTTCTCTTCACCTTCTGTTTTGCTCCTTCTGCTTTGCTTTTTTTAACCATCTCCGTATGTGTTTTTTTTCCTTTCTTTATGAGAAACAAAAATAAACATTATTATTAAAGGAATTGATCACAAAGAACTACAAGGATTAAGCAACCTCTTAAATACAAATCAATTATAGAAAATATTTTCGGTTAGAATATGAAGTGGAAAATGAATACAAAACTTATAAAAAGGCTTGATATCCTAAGTATTATTTCTTGACTTTTGCAGCATTGCAAATATGGTGCGGACCACAATTATGCGCTTACTCTATGCATCATGCCCCTCATGCCCATCTCACTGGATAACAATATGTCGAAATCTTGTAAGTTTTTTTACTCGTTCAAATTCATGTTCTTCTTCCATCATTCTGTATATTAAACCATTGAAGTAATGAGTTATTTACATCATCATGTAAGGGCTATTGTTTAAAAAATGGGTTCCCCTCGTTTCCTTGTACTTTTAAGCTTTTAATTGTAATATTATAAAAGATTACATTATTCCTATTTCCTTCAAGCTTGGGTCAATTTGGAATATTGTCGGATCTTGGTCATGATAAATATACTATGCTATTCTCATTGGGCTTCAAAGTCTGCTCCTCATGCATCAATATAAAATCTTCGAACAATTCATGTTATATGTTGTACCTGATTTAACTGCTGAATTGTTCAGGTTCTTGCTACATCAACAAGGAGAAATATTGAATATAATACTAACTCCGAAAAGGATCCTTCAAATGCTCCCGATGGTGACCAAAAGTTGAGCACTGGAGAAGATGACGATAATATGGTTTCTAGCCACAAGAGAGTTACAATACCAGGACATGCTCTAGAGCCTTCCAACATTATAACTCAAAGGGATAAACATCTTAGATATCGAACCAGAGTTTTTGCTGCCGAGTATGTGAAGCCTGCCTTTACTTTTTCTCCCACCCCTTCAACCTTATTGATATTTTATGGACTAAAAAGATTAATTCCTGTGATTATTTCAGAAGAAAAATTTTAATTTATGGCTTATTTCTAAGTGGTATGTTCTCTAAAAGCTACACTGGAAGGATCAAGATCATTTTTTCTTCATTATTTCGTTTAATTTATTATATTCTGTAAATTTAAGTTTTCAGGTTCAGCAGTTTTTCATTTTTGCATTAGAGATTTTTTTTGGGAGAGATACTTATCCCTTCACCCTCTTTCAGGAAAAGGAAAGTTTGTTTTTGGCTGGTAGGATGTTTGGTATCTCTTGTGATATTTGTTTGGAAAAGAGTAAGATCTTTGATGATTTTCCCTCTTAGTTTGATAATTAATTAATTAATGCACAAATTATAAAGATGGCTACAGCCAACATAAATAGTCCTTTAATTGTTAAAAATTGAGGGGTAAAGTTGTAAATTTTCGTTTCAACCCTGAGATGTGGCTTTTGTATTGTTATGTGCTGCATTTGGTTATCTCTTAGAACTTATTCATACCCTTCTTTGAACTTTCAACTCCCTTTAATGATAATTTTGTTTATTTTTCTAGAAAATAAATAATAAGGACCAGAGAATGTGATCTAAAGTAAAGTCCTTGACACCAATCATCTTCTCATAATTTGATGAAATCTCCAATTGCAACTGAAAGACTAAAACTATTTGTAACACAAGAAATGCATTGAAGCTTCGCAATGATGTGCTCTTTCCAACTTATTTGAGTCCTACTAGCCTAGCATGATTTGTTTGAATTGGGAGAATTTTATATTTCCTTTGTAATTGTTTATTTACTAATGGTTTGTTTGTTTTCTTTTTCCTTCTTTTCATTTTCACTCCTATGGGAGTTTGTATCTCTCAAAATTTTTTGTTCCGTTTCATAACTTAATGAAAAGTTCGAATCTTGTTAAAAAAAAGAAAAGGAAAGAAATGCATTGAAAAATAAATTGGCAAGAATGGAGCTCACATTCTAAGGCTTCCACATTTTCAAACAATGGTGGTTAGTTTTGTTGTTTGATAAGCATAAAAATTGAGATATAAGTTTATTCAAACTTGGATCATGTTGAATATTTGACACGCTTAGGGAATTACTGGCATTAACAAAAGAATGGAAGAAAATGGATATCTTCAGAATAAAAAAGAAATGAAATGAGATTTATTTGTTTTGATATATGTGTGTATATTGTTTCACCTATACAACTAGATTATCGTTTTACTGAGAATAGTTGCATCATTTGCCATAGGGCATTCCTCCAGTTAATGATCCATTATAAAATTATTATTATTGGTAACTGCAAATTGTTATTTATTATAATTTTTTAAAACTAAAATAAGAAATTGATTTTTCTACAGGTGTCTCAGTCGTCTACCTGGTGTGGTTGGAAAGAATGCAGCTCATTTTGATCTTCATTTAGCAAGGGACCAATTGGCTAATGGGCATGGCTCTGGTGATTGGCTAGTCCTTCATGTGCAAGAGCTTATTTCACTTGCTTATCAGGTGCTAAATATGAGGTTACTATATATGATTATGATACTTTAAATTTATGTCTTAAGTAGATCTCACAGTTGAATTTCTTGGTTATAGATCAGCACAATTCAATTTGAAAGTATGAAGCCAATTGGTGTTGGACTCCTAAGTTTGATCATTGATAAGGTAAGTTCACATTTTATATACCAAGTATATTCTCTTTTTATGTCTCTTTCCTTTCTTATCTAAAAACAACACCTTGCATAATGATGTGTGTCGCATGGAATCAAATCATCTGTTTTTTCCCCACGATTTATGTTCTAATATTTGTTTGTGTAAACCCATTAGGGTTTTCTATTAACCTTGGACGTAAATAAATTGAATTACCCTTCTATTAGTTTTTTTTCCTTTCAAAATTAAATGAAGCCATTTATTAAAAAAAATGGAAATACAACATAAAGAAACAGGGAGATGACATCTTTATGAGAGAAAGAGGGGTTTATAAGAAAATATCAAGTAATTTCTCCAATTTTGATATTTTCCTCATTGTTATTACTAAAAATGATAGCATCATCATCATATTGCATGCGAGCAGTGTGTACATGTTGTCTGCCCATTTTGAACCTTCAATTCTGCCTTTCAAGTTTACATTCGTCTCTAAAACGACTACACGAATCAGCATCAAGGGAGGGGAGGAAGGTGGATATAGGAGATAGGAGAGAGGGTCCTCATGCCTCAAACCCAAAGTGGAATAAAACCCTAGGCTTTGCATTGATAATAAAGGAGAAGTTAGTGGTGCAACTACAATTTTAAATCCATGGTCTCAATCTTAATGATAAAACCGATTTTCTTCTTTTTCATCCACACTTCAGCCATGGGGAAAACTGTGAGGTCAGCATATGTGTGATGTAAGTCTATGTATAATTATATTGGAAGTCTTAGGAAGTAGAGAAGAGAGTAGACCTCGAAAGTCTGAAAATTTTGTTCTTTCATGTTTATCATTAATAAAGAAAGTATCTTTTCCTCAGAGAGTTCTGTCACTATGATAAGATTGGTTATGGAAGATTTGTTACTTATAAAACAAGAGATGATAGTGCAATGTAGTATGATAGGATTCTCTTTGCAACTATTTTGACTTACTACCATTGTATCTAGGTCTTTTAGTTTGAGGAAAAGCTTTTGACTTTGAAAGTGATATTTAGTTTCTCCTTTTAGTCTTTCCCTAGGAAAATGCAATTTCAAATTCCTTGTGATATCTCGTTTTGAGAGTTTTGTATATCTTGTGTTTCATGAATACAGTTTGAACGTGTAGCTGATCCCGAGCTTCCGGATCACCTTCTATTGGAGCAATATCAGGTGCTTCTCTCTCTCTCTCTCTCTATACACATGCACATACACACATTTGGATAAAATTTTCAAAATTAGCATTTGGTGCTGTCTATGATTTTCATGCTCCATTAATGAATGATTTTTCTTGAAGTGGTTTCGTTTTCATTGATCATCTGAAGTTTTGTTTCTTATTTGAATTATAGGCCCAACTAGTATCTGCAGTTCGCTCTGCCTTAGATACATCCTCTGGCCCTGTTCTTTTGGAGGCAGGACTGCTGCTGGCCACTAAGGTTCGAACATTCAGATTTTCTTCACCTTCTTTGAAATTACTTTATGTCAAGTTAACAGGTTCTCATACTGAAAAAGTTTAGATCCTCACAAGTGGAATAATCGATCGTGATCAAGTTGCTGTTAAGCGCATTTTTTCATTAATTTCACGGCTATTGGGTGACTTCAAGGAACTTTATTATCCTTCATTTGCTGAATGGGTCTCATGCAAGGTATGTTCAGTTGCCTTTTGCTTTCTCTCTCTCTCTCTGGACTTAGCCTGAAGCGACCTTCTTATACAATATTTACTACTAAAAAATTATGAATTATGGAATAGATTAAGGTTAGGCTTCTGGCTGCACATGCCTCTCTCAAATGTTACACATATGCACTTTTGAGGAGACACCAGAGCGAAGTTCCACGTGAGTATCTAGCCCTGTTACCATGGTTTTCGAAGAATTCGACTATATTGGGAAAGCACTGGATTGGGGTTCTGATGGATTACAGCCATACATGCTTATTCTTGCATCCCAAGAAAAATGTGAGGAATATAATATTAAACTAGCTTACTATTTGCCGATAAATTTTTTGCTTCTGTTCCCCATTTAATTCCTTTGTGCAAATTTCTTGCAGTGGAATCCTTTTCTCGATGGAATTCAATCACCTCTGGTTGTATCAAAGTTACAGCCTTCATTAGAAGAATCTTGGCCAGTTATTTTGCAGGCCATTGCATTGGACGCAATTCCTGTGAAACTTGATGGGATTACAAATTTGTCCAGAAATAATGCATCAGAAGACAACTTTTTATCTGGATATAGCATGGTTGAACTGGATTCTAATGAATATCGATTTCTGTGGAGCTTTGCTCTGTTTGCTTCGTTTCATGGACGTCATCCCCTTGGGGATCAAAGGATACCACCACCTTCTGCTACGGAAAGTGGAGTTGAAGACTCTCCAAAAGAAACTACGGATCCTACAGAACTAAAACTCTATGAAATCGTACTGCCCGTGTTTCAATCTTTATCGACTGAAAAATTCTGCAGTGCAGGATTTATTACAGTCGACATCTGCATAGAACTTCTGCAGGTGCATTCTATACTTGTTCCTTATATAGTTATATCCTTCTAATATATGATTAATGATCCAGAATTAATCAAGAAAAAATATCCTTTAATTTGTGAGGCTTTTATGAATGTCTAACTGGTTTTATGTGATACTAAATCAGTAAATTGTAGACTCTTGAATATCAATTTTCCTTATTTCGCATTTACTTTAGAGATGCAAGTTATAATCACGTTGAACTTGAGAATATGTGGAATCATGGAATAACCCACGCCCATACAAGGTTGTGATCAAGTATTGCATGATTTAAGATCCTCACTTAGTTTTACAACTGATTAGGAATATGAATTTCAGTTTTTCTTTTTTAATATTTTTCTAAGAAGGGTGCGCCAGGCCTGGGCTGTAGTGTAAGGCCCAGGCGACGCTCGAAAGCCCCGGCAGCAAGCTACTGAGATGGGTTCTCCCCCCTAGAAAAATGAATTTAATATCATGTGGGCCAATGGCCCCCGTATCAGATATGAATTTCAGTTGATTGCCTTGTTAGTCAGAGATGCCAGTTTCTTAATTGCAAAATTCTCAAAGTTCTAAGTTGATTATATATAATGGATCTGTTTGTCTCAGTTGTGGTTTGAGTGTCAATTATACCGTTTTTATTCTTTCTTCCCAGTACATATGAGATGCCTTAATGTTGGGTATGGGGTAACAGTTATTGTGCTCTCAGCTGTATAATTTGAATTGAAATTCTTTATTTTATTTAAACAACGATGAACAGATTTTACCTTCAGGTGTTTACTAGACGATGCTACTTCTTTTATGATTATGAATCGATTTTCTTATCACATGCTACTGACTATCTCATGTAGGTTTTCTCATATTACACGTTCTTGGATATCTCTTGGAATTCTCTTGCAGTGTCTGTGCTGTCCCAGGTAAAAATCATTACGCTTTTCCAAGTATATTAATGTTGCATGTGGAAATTTATTGTTTTATATAAGCTCTAAACAGTATGCCTTAGCAGTACTGACTGGTGGTAAAAATTAAGACTATGTACTAATTCTTCATATGAATCTTTAGGGCATTTCGGATAAAAAAAAATTTCCATTTTTTTAAAGACATCTAATTGATGAATCGATGATATATGCATTTGACAGTACTAAATTAGAATATTATGAAAGTTATAGTTGAATGTCATTATAAGAAGCTAAAAGATTTTCCATTAAAAAAAAAAAGAAGCTACAAGATTTTGATAAACATTAAAATCCACTTTAAAGCTTTCTTTTTCTGAATTCTTCTGTTAAACAAACTTGACGGTAATATTAAGAATTGTTAGGTATTAGGAGTTCAAAATCATTTGAATGAAATTTTCTGGTTACTTCCCTGTTTTCGTAGATTACAGCTTGTCCAGCCCAGAGCTGCAGTTACCTGATTTTTTATTATTTTTAAATTATAGGATAAAATATGTTTTGGCCAAAAACGTTTGGGCTCTTTTCAATTTAGTCTCAATTGTTAAAAAGTTTCAATCAAGTCCCTCCTGGTTTTAACATTTTTCAATTATAACCTCTCCATTACTTCTCAAGTCAGCAACACATGTATCACATCTCTTCAGAATGAACGGATAATTCATGCCAAATTTTTTGTCTCTTTCTTCAAACAGATTGTTCAGAACTGCCCTGAAAGTTTTCTTCAAACAGAAGGCTTTGCTTATCTCGCATTGGAATTATGTCTGGCTTTCCTTTTTCGAATGTATCAGAGGTAATATGAAATACATCATACACTTACTTTTTTTTAACCGTAATTAGATTTATTTGTACTGCTGGTCTGATGATATGATCCGCCTCTTGTTGTCCAGTATGAGCTCCAGACAGCTAGATCATCCAAATTGGGAGGATTTGATATCATCATTATTTATCACACTAAAGGTACTCATGGAGCGTTCTGAATTTAAGGTGAGTAGGTGAATATTTGGTGTAGAAACTTTTCATTGAATATTTACATTTCTCTGTTCGAGTATTTATTCAGGTTATATTTTTGGAAGAAGTTACTTTATTTTAGTAATACATTTAATTAGGATATCAGAATCTTTAGGATTTTTGCACTATTATCAGTCGCATTGTTTTGGAGTCCAATCTAGTTTAGTATTCCGTTTATAATCTTTCATTTTATTCCAATAAAAGCTCAGTTTCTTATTAAAAAAAAAATAATAAATGCACTCGTTTGATTAATAATTTGTTAGGGAAAGCTTCCTTACTTATCAGAAATTTCTCCCATACTTTATTCGTGGCTTTTTATAAATGTCTGAGTGTTCTCTCTGCTTGAATTGCATTTTTGGTGGCATGCAGAAACAAATAGTATCTTTGCTGCTGGCCTTTTTCTCAATCGGACACAAATGCTTCAGGGAAGCATCGACTGAATTCTGCTTGTCTAAAGTAAATGATTTTATAAGGTCCTTTGGCCATATATTAGAGAAACTTATCCGAGGTACGCTTTTGGAAATTATAACTCATTGTTAAGGCTAAAGTATTTTTATGTCCAAAATATTTATAGACGAGTTGCACTTGCATCCCTTTTTCCTGATGTAATAATTTTTGTAAAAGGAAGTTTGCTGGGGCATCCTTGATCTAGACTGATGTTAGTCTAAGAAGTGACACCTACTTCCATATGTTTGCCAGTTAGAAATTATTTTTGTTTGTTGTGGAAACACCTCATATTACAATTCCGTTTATAAAATCTTGAATTTACAAATCTTTATAGAATCTCTTGATAGGACACCCCACCAGTAGTAAATGCACATATCAGAGAAAACGTGCTAGGGGGAAGGGGGCTTTAGATTGTCTGTTAGCTTGCGTGGGTCCACTTTTGTAACTAAATGATGTGACATATGGGAGGAGAGACGGCGTGAGTGAGTTAGTGTGTTTGACATGTCTTTTAAAATTTAAAGTGCTTAGAGATGACTAGAGGTGTTTTCGTAAAAATTTAGTGTTTGGTTAAAACTTTAAAAATGGGTAAAAGGTGCTTTTAGTCCATCAAAATCACTTTGTAAAATTTTCGATAATAATAATTTTTTTTTTTGAGAAATTCTAAAATAAGATAAAAATGACACTTAAGTTTGTGGATTCTTTTTTTTGCAGATAGTACCAAGCTTGGTGAGGATGGTCGTCAGTCTAAAATACTTCTTGGAACGTGTATGAATTTGGTTGTGGATTTGTGCAGAAATTGTGTCGAGGGCATTCATTTGGTCAAGAACAAAAGCTCCAATCTCCAGAGACTACTGCAAGTGAAACTTGCTTTCTCTCTAGAGCAAATTATTTCACTGGGAAAGCTGGTTTATCTAGCTGGGTGTCTCGAAGCGCATAAAGAGATCGAGAGTGTATGTTTTACTGTTTTCAAATATGGAACTGAGTGCATCAGAAACGTACTTCATGATTCAAACTCACAGGTAAATATTATCCAAAGTGAATATCTGCAACTGTTAACAAAATTACAAGGGAAGAAAGTTGGATGATGGAAGCTTCTGTTCCTTAGGTTCAGGCAATTGGGTTGCAAGTACTAAAAAGCATGACACAGAAATACAAAAATAAAGAAGAAAAAGCCTTCCTGCTGTTCTTTGTTGGGGAACTCATTGGAGATGTTTTGATGATAATCCATAACATGTTGAAGGTACTTTATTTAGTCGTATTTTTTAAAGGGTAATTAGGACTCCAAAATTATAGTTAAAAGCAAGCATTAATGCATTATAGTTCAACTTCTATAAAGTTAATGTCACGCCAATCACTTTGTACATTCTTTTCCCTCTTAACTTTTATCTTCTTTTCATTTTGATCCCCTAAATTCTTCAGCTTTGAATAGTTGCTCTAGAAATATCATCTATAGTTTACAAATCCAGTAGAATAAAACAGTGGCGTATTTCTTACTTCATTGCGTTGCTACTGGTTTTTATTTTTGGGTTCATTTTCACTTGAGGTATTGAGGAAATTCTAAATGTTTTAGTTGCTGGTTTTTATTGCAATTAGAGTGAAAGTCAAATTTTTGAATTTTATATTTGAAGGTTCCAATCAGAGTATATGTTGGAAACTGCAATATATTTTGCGTTAAAATTATTATTACTTCGTTTCTTTTCTAGCATCTTCTTCTCTTTCATGGTTTAGATACCACACTCAATGATGTAAGTTGTTTCATACTCATACTTGGCAGAAACCAATAACCAAAGAATCAACAGTGATTGCTATTGAGTGCTTGAGATTCTTAGTGCTTGTACAAACATCGCCAAATGTCGGTGAATGCCAGAAAATTTTCATGAATCTGCTTCTGGAAGCAGTAGTCATGATTTTCGCTGAATCGTCAGGCTCTAATCCTAAAGTAAGCAATCTGGTTCAACTAAGTCTGAAGTTTTAACTTCAAGATTCTTTCCTCTCTGGTTCATTGAAGTTCTTTTAATTACAGGAACTTGATGAATTGAGAAACACAGCAATAAAGCTTGTTTCTCATCTTGCTCAGATTCCTTCCTCTGCCGTTATTTTCAAGGATGTCATATTGTCGATGCCAGTGATGCATCGGCAGCAACTTCAGGTAATCTCTTGGATATTTCTCAAACACGTGTCATTTTGTGTAGACATCTTCGTAGTGGTACAATGTGTAATGAGGACAAGAACATGTTTTTTAAGTCATATTGTATACAGCAAAATAAGTATGTTTGCATCTAATTTCTAAAATTAAAACAACTGTGCTGCCAGAATTGACCTCCTAGTAAATTAGGCTGATGTTCATAGTTTAATCTCTCTCAAAGATACCTTAGCTGAAGATATTGGAAAATAAATTTCACCATATTTATAGACGCATGAAATTTCTGTTAAGTTGCTCATCCAAAGAATTGAAGTTGGATATTGGAACATAAGTTTCACCATATTTAAATATTTAATGAGAGATTCTTATTGAAGTTGACATCAATACTCGTTTGACTAACAAAGTAACAATTATCTCCTGTCAGGGGGTTATTCGCGCTTCTGTCATGCAAGATCAACATTCAACTCAGAAAAATCTCCCAACACCGTTACTGGAGATAAAACCACCAGCGATAGAGGTGAATAGAGAGAAAATACCGCCTGGTGTAGTTGAGGCTAGCACTGAAAACAATTCTGTGATTGACGGTGAAGGGGATGAGGATGAAGACGAAGAAGACTGGGATACATTCCAGTCTTTTCCTGCTTCTACACGCGAAGCAATAACCGATAATGTTGCAGAATCTTGTGAAAGTGAGGGCTCTGAAGTTTTTGAAAGTAGCAGCCCTAGTGTCAGCATGGAAGACTCCCCTCCCCTTCCTACTGATGCGTTGAAGGTCGAGAATATGGAACATGGAGAAACTAGCGAAGAGGTGACAATGTCTATATCCCCTACGGATCAGAGATCTTCAGACGGAGATGCAACCAGCGACAGGAGTGAAATGCATGGAGTCAGTGACCACAAAAGTGAAAATGTCGATATTGTTCCCAATCAGGAACAGGACACAGAAAACGAAGCCATGCCAGGATAATAACCAAGACAAGTGACTGAACAGGTATCATCTCAACTTCAACTAGCTGAAGATGTAGAAGTTTCTGCTAGAGTGAGCTCTTTAGAGGATCATAAACCAGTAGACGAAAGCCCGGAAAATAAAACCGAGTAGATAACTTCAGATGGTGAAACACTCGATGATGAAGCAGATAATGACCATGTTGGGGAATATAAAGAAGGTAAGAAAAAAAGACAATGTGGTTAAAACTTCGAGCGTTGATGACGAGGAACAGAGAAATGACAGTTTCTGAGTTCCAAAATAGCATTGATATAGTTGTTTCAAGTTAAGGATAGAATTCGAGATATTTGTCATCACAATTGTAGGTAAAATTACCTTTTTTTTTGTTATTTTTTCATGATAGCCTTATCATATGGAGATGAGTTGTTACATGTCTGTTTATATGGATTCTCTCATGACCTCAAAATCAAATTCCATCCTAAATATTTACAAATAGGGTGGTTTTTATCCATTCGTTTTAAAAAATTTTGTAAAAAGAGGCTAAAGTAGTATTTTGAGAATTTATTTACCTATTTTTCTACATTGAATGAAAAGACTTGAAGCAATGATTTTTCTAAACATTTTTGAATTAGAATATGGTTTATATCAGAATCCTTATAATGTTTTTCTATTGAATTGAGATGCAAATATGGTGTTTCTAAATATGATTTTGTGTGTCAAATGTGCTTCTCTTGGACTAAATTGAAAAGAAAAGAAATTATTATACATGGCTTAAAAATATCTATTTCACAGAAATAGTTAAAATAGCCAAATCTAGTTGGTGTAAGGGATGTATGAACTATCGTATCGTCTCACTTCAATTCCTTCATAAATTTTAAAAAAATATATTGCGGGTTAAGAAATGCTCCTACATCCTATCCCACCATGGCCAACTCTCTCTCAAATTGACGTCTAGCTAGAAATAGTATTTTAAGTACTTATCAATATCAGTTAGCACATATCTTTTGCTAATCACTATTACTGACACGAATTACTTAAAAAAAAAAGTTAAAGAATTGCACCAAGTAGGTGGTTCAAAGAATTATTTTCTTTCTATTGTTGAAAATCTAGAAACAACTTAAGCAACCACATGTGATTTCTTCTACAATAAATATATATTCTTTAAAATAAGGAGTTAGTAGAGCAAAAGATTAATAAAGTAGAGAAACTTAGCTTGGGTCTTAAATTTATAGCTCTATAATGTCATTTTCTCAATGGCCCGAAATGGAGGAAGAAGAAAACTATTCACTCCCAAAATTAGGCTAATCATTTTTTAATTGATTTGGCATCTTTATAATATTATATATTTACTTGCATATTTGTATTTTATTAACTATTATCTCAATCACTCTGGATTGATTTACATGAATATAGCTTAATTAGTTAATGCATCTACCTCTAAACAAAAGATCGTGACATGTTGTACTCTGATTGATTTCAACTAATTTTGAACTATCTTGCATGATTTTTGTCGATTTTTAAACGAATGTAATCACAAACTTTTGGTCAATTTTGGTACCTCTTGATCAGTTTCAGATGTGTAACATAAAATTTTCTTAGGACTTTAAAAATTAGGATACGTAAATGGCTACTTTTATAAAGAAGCAAAATGAAGAAAAGTATAAATCAGTACTAAAAATAAGAAGTGGGTCAAATTTCTTTTGTATAGTATTTAGGGTTATATATATATATATATATATATATATATATATATATTATACAAAAATCTCCATTTTCTTCCCAATTAATTTTAGTACTCTATAAGTTGGACTTTATCAACAAAAATTAACACCCAAAACCACAATGAAAGAGAAACATTAATTGAATAAAATAATTAATAATAAATAAAATTTTAAAAGTAATACTCACATAAATCCAACAATAAGATAATTACCAAATAAAATAATATCCGTAACCTTTATTTTGAAAGGTTAGAATTCACAAGTTTGACACTTTCATTTGTCAATGAAAAAATGGTCAAAGTTTATGTAAAACTTTGATTGTTCAAAAATGGTCAAAGTTCGTGTAAAACTTTGATTGTTAAAAAATGGTCAAACCCTTTAAACATAGTATTTTTATAGTTTAGAATTGTAAAAAACTACAATATTTCAGTAATTATTTTTTTAAACATGGAAAATTTAAAATTGTAATGATTTTTTAAAGAGCCCTTTTTGTCTTGCAGATTTTAAGAAACTTGGTCTACTATCACAATTTAAAAAGCCATAGCTTCTCTTTAAAGTCCTCCCTTCTAGGTGAGGAATAATGACCAATGGCTTCTTTTTTTTTTTTTTTCAAATATTCCAACATGTTCCTTAAACATATATAATGTTTTTTTTTCCATTTAGTTTGAAATCTTACAAGTTTTTTTTTTAATTTCAATAAATTAATACGAATATATATACATGTAGGTGTTAAGTTTCGTTGGAAATATCGGAACCATTCATTAAAGAAGTATGTGAAAAACATGCATATGAGTGTTAATTATAAATCTAGATAACAAGCTATCGATTGTTTTTTTAAGTCTTTTTTTCTGAGTTTGACAATATGTGTAGTTGGGAATTCGGATTTACAACCTTTTCATCGATAACATATAGCTTTGATAAGTTAAACTATGCTCTTGTAGACGTGAGTTTTTAATTATGTCTCAATTGGCTTATAAGCCTTCTACATTTTAGTCCAAGTTTTTTTTCTCTCTAATTATTTGAGAAGAAAATTGAATTCAAGGCTAATAAATGGAAATAATTACCAATACTTGAGTCAAATCTCTACATAGTTTTTTCTTTTTTTCCTTTCAATTACTATCTATTTTTAATATATAATATTTTTTAAACATATCATTTCTCATTAAAATTATTTAAAATATGTTAAAACTCAGGCTTGTACCTAGAGAGCATGCACGAGAAGTTTTATTTCTTGACTGGTGGACCACACCTCCTAATACACATCATACATATCATGCATGATTCGGAATACGTTTTAGCCAAATTTAGAGGTCCGTTTGATAATGTTACTGTCACCTTGTTTATGCTTTCTTTTTTAATAAAAGAAAAATAGAACTACATGACCTCAACCCATTTTTGAATCAATGATAAAATAAATTTTTTAATTATATTTTGGAATAATTTAAAAACAAAAAACAAGAAAAATTTTTTCTTTTCAAAATTTTTGTATAACTTTGAAAATGTTTTAGAAAAAATGAAAAACAAGAAACATAAATGCATAAATTTCAAAATAACTGCCATCAAAATGAGAAATGGGTCCAGTGGATAGAAGCTGCTTATTTCCCAATGATCTGCACAATGAAAATAGTTTTTAACTTGAAAAAAATGTAGTATTATATTTTTCAATCTTTTAATAAATATTCAAGATTATACAATAAAACCCAAAAGAAACTAGAAAGATTCTATTAGGATCCTTTGGCCTGCAAGATTTCTGTTCCACAACTCTAATTAAGCAACGTGTAGACTAATCAAGCTTTTAATCCCAATAATTAAGAGACAAACATGAGAGACCAAAAAAGAAAAAAAAAACCCTAAAATAAAATTTAATGAACAATTACAAAATTAAATATTCACAGAGTTTTTGGTCTTGATTCAATACATCAAATGGACGGCAACGCGGACTCTTCTCTTAATCTAAAGATGTAGAAAGTTTTTAGTTAGAGAAAGAAAAACTTAATTTAATTGATGGTTTCATTTATTTATTTTATACTATAAAATTTCTTGAATTGAAACTATTCAAATTCAAAATTTTGAAAGCAATAGAAGTACCTTCTTTTATTACCTTAAAACTTGATGTGATGATCAGTCAAATTTTCAAAACTAAAAAAATTAATATTATTTCCTTATGTAAGAAATAAAAAAAAAAAAGAAAATTGTTTTTTTCTATCTCATATATATATTTTTTCATTCTCTCCAGGGAATAATAAATCTAGCTACTAATGTCAAAATTCAATGGGTTTAAGTTTATCTTTTAGGGTTTTAGTTTCCTTCCAATTATGTACTTTGCATTGAAAAATAAATACCCGGAGAAAGATTAACAAAAACTTTCTTTGAGGCTAACTTCAACATAATTCAATGGAACTAAGGCATTTGTAACATCTCGAGTTATAAGTTTAAATGCATACCTATTTATTTGGATTGCAAAAATTTAAAAAAAATTACAAACAAAGTGAAATAGTCCAATGGAATAATAGCACAGTGACAAAGAGTCCTGGAGCTGTATAGTATCACCTATTATGAAGTTTTCGGTTCGAGTCCTATTAGTTACTTTGTTACTCAGTCCAAGCAACGATATTTCTTAAAATAAAAAAAAGAGGAAAAAAATCTAATTATTATACCTTTCTAGTTTTTTTTTTTTTTTTGAAGATCAGATCATTTCGAAAATCCTAATTTTTTTAATACAATAATTGGGGTGGGGAATTCGAATTCATAGCCTCTTTGTCGGAGACATGTACTAATGATTGTTGAGCAAAATTCAAGTTGGCTTCGAAAATTCTAATTAAAAATATATATATGTGGGAAATTGGAACCGCTCCCTGGAAATGATAGTGGATGATTGAATAATGAAAGGGTTTAAAAGTCTGGGAACAGCATTAACTTTCTTGTTTGGTTACTAGGAAAATTTGTTGAGTTTTGATTTTCTCGAGTAAAAACTATTGGGTCAAACCCTTTGACAAGTGTAATGTTTCTTCTTCCAGAAATTCTCATCTAATTTCAAACACTTGTCTTAATTTTCATTCAGTTGTTTTTAATTCCAATCTAGAAGTAATAGATGAATATATTTTCATTGATGGAACGAAGGCAAATCACAAAAATGGCAAAATTTTACTCAAATTATATTAATTATTTTGATTTGAATTCAAACAAAAAGACAACTATCACATGAGAAGGAAGAAAAAAAAGTCAAGTTTGTGACATTTTCAGGAAAAAAAATAAAAGTATTGACGTTTTCTAAAATACATATAATATTTTTATCATCTAATTTATTTCGGCCCTCTTGATCTATTTAGTTCATATTATTTCATTATAGTTTATTATACATTTCTGTAAAAATAATAGAAATTTAATTTAACAAGTTATTTATTAATATATATGTAAAGCGAAATTCACAACGTGAGATTTTAGTTTAAAGGAAATACCAAACTTTAGTCTATTTTAATCATAAATTTGAAGTTTCAATTTCATCGCAGCGAGCACCTGCAAATTGAATTTTAGTCATTATTATTTTTACAGTTACCATTCTAAAAAAACTTTATATTTACGATTAATGTTGTAATAATGTATATATAATTATAATATAAACAAACTTCAAAAGTTTTGAAGTTGCGACTAATAAATTATTGAATTTTAAAAAGTATCTAACAAGTTTCTAAACTTTCGATATAGTATCTATTGAGTTAAATAAAAAGTAATTTATAAACTTTTAATTTTATATCTCGTAGCTACGTCTCTAAAGTTCTAAAAATGTATAATAGATTATTTGAGTTTTTTTTTTTGTTCAACTGAATGTGAGGTGAGATATTGAACCTACAATAATCTCAAGGAAGGAAACAAGTCTTGTATCTACCAAACTATGCTTGAAATATTTAACAGGTCAATAACAAAATTGAAAATTTAGAAATAATCTTTCACCATTTTTTAAAGTTCAATGATCTATTAGATATGAAATATAAAGTCTAAAAACATATTAGACATGTTTTGAAGTTTATGGACCTATTAAATACAAAATTAAATTTTAGGAGTCGACACTTATTAAAGTTTAAATAGTTATTAAATGTAAAAATAAAAAGGAACCCTACTTAGCTGATTACGAATTAGTAAAAATCTTCTTGCTAATCACTATTGACATATTGATAGTTATTTTTAATTTTTTGAAAACAGAAAAAAAAATAAAAATAGCTATCAACTCCTTTTTGTTTTGTTCTTTCCTACTTGTCACCGACGTAAGGGTAGTCAAGGGAAGAAAGTTAATAGCCAAGAATTATTCAATAAAAAATTGAACAATACTCGCACATTTTTATACCGACACGAATAAAGTTTGACATCTTTTTAAATTTTTTTAAAAAATATTTCTTTTTCAATATTTTTCTCTCCTATTAAAAAAAAAACTTAATAGTAACGAACAAAAGACAGGTAAGTATGATGGGTAATTACGTAATTATCTTCCAAAAAAATTTAGAGATGAATCAAACAAAAATACAACGGATCGGTTACTTTAGACATAACCAACACCAAAGTTGTAATTTAATCAAATCCAAATACCAAAATTAGAAATAGATAGAAAAAAAAACGGTGTTGTATTCTGTTCATTCAAGAAAAAGAAAAAAAACTGTTAGAAGTAGGGCCCACAGACGACAGTTCAAACGATCAAAACTGCACAAGTTC